AATATTCATCTTCAATTTAGAGTTTTCCCACACAGTACTGTTTTTGCTACTAAATGCCTCCAGTCTGATGTCAAGCATCATATACCCACTTCTTCTGAGACAAGATTGTCCTGGACCTGGATTGGACATTGGAGACAGAAACAGCACTGCAATAAGCTCACCCATTTTTTTTGTCTGTTTCTCTTCCTATTAGCATACTTCTACTCCTATGAACTGATTGGTTCCTTAGACTACTAATTCCTCTCCCCTTCACCCCCTAAGGGCTAGAATTTGCTGCTCTGTCAGATGCCTGACCACAGCTGTAGCAAATGCTAGAACATACAGTAGGGAAAATAATTATTTGTTCCCCTGCAGATTTAGTAAGTTTGCCCACTTACAAAGAAGTTAGGGGTCTATCATTTTTATCATAGGTGTATTTTAAATGATAGAGACAGAATATCAACTACAAATCCAGAAAAAAACACATGATACAAATGTTATAAATTGAGTTGCAGTTCAGAAAGTAAAATAGATATTTGATCCCCTACCAACCAAAAATAATTCTGGCTCCCACAAATTGGCTATGTGCTCATGTGGTACACAGATTAGTCCTGTCAATTTAAGAAGGTGCTCCTAACGGCAACTTGTTATGTATGTGTATAAAAGACACTTGTCCACAGATTTCTAGGGCACTACCATGGGCAAGACCAAAGAGCTGTCAAAGGACGTCAGTGACAAGATTGTAGACCTGCACAAGGCTGGAATATCAGCAAGAAGTTTGGCAAGAAGGAGACAACTGTTGGAGCGATTATTCACAAATGGAAGATATACAAAATAACTATCAATCGCCCTCAGCCTGGAGCTCCATGTAAGGTTTTGCCTCATGGAGTAAGAATGATGATGAGAAAAGTGAGGGATTAGCCCAGAACTACATGGGAGAATCTTGCGAGTCAAGGCAGTTGGGACCACAGTCACCAAACAAAACCATTGGTAACTATGCCCCTATGGATTGAAATCCTGCAGCGCCCACAAGGTCACCCTCCTTAAAAAAGCAGTACAGGCACATCTGAAGATTGCCAGTGGACATCTAAATGATTCAGAGAAGGATTGGGAGAAAGTGCTGTGGTCAGATGAGACCAAAATTGAGCTATTTGGCATTAACTTGACTAGCCGTGTTTGGAGGAAGAAAAATACTGACTATGACCCTAAGAACACCATCCTTACAGTCAAGCACGGAGGTGGAGACATTATGCTTTGGGGCTGTTTTTTCTGCAAAAGGTACAGGCCGACTTTGCCACATTGAGGGGCCAATAAATGGGGCCATGTATCATAAAATCTTGGATGAGAACCTTCTTCCCTCAGTTAGAATGCTGAAGATGGGTCATGGATGGGTCTTCCAGTATGACAATAACCCAAAACATACCATCAAAGCAAAACAAGGAAGGGTTCAAGAAGAAGCACATTAAGGTCATGGAGTTGCCTTGCCATTACCCTAACACTATAGAAAATGTATGGAGGGAGCTGAAACTACAAATTGCCAAGCAACAGCCAAAAAACCTTAAGGATTTAGAGAAGATCTCTAAAGTGGACACAAATCCCTCCTGAAATGTGTGCAAACCTGGTAACTAACTACAGGAAATGTCTTACCTCTGTGATTGCCAACAAGGGTTTCTCCACCAAGTACTAAGTCATGTTTTGCTTGTGGATCAAATACTTATTTTACTCCCTGAACTTCAACTCAATTTAGAACTTTTTCATCGTGTGTTTCTTCTGGATTTTGGTTGATATTTTGTCTCTATCATTTAAAATACAACTATTCTAAAAATTATAGCTCCTTAATTTTTTGTATTTTCCCTACTGTATGTTCTAGCATTTGCTACATCTGTGGTCAGGCATCTGACAGAGCAGCAAATGCTAGCCCTTAGGGGGTGCAGGGGGGAGGAAGAAATAGTACAAGGAACCTGGGCAAACTTACAAAATCTGCAAGGGATCAAATAATTATTTTCCCCACTGTATGTCCTTCAACATTGATTTCCTCCAACATGTGGTGTCATCCAGCTCCTAAAAAAAACCTAACAGCATCAAACACCGGGCCCTGTAGCTGCTTACATTCCTCTAAGAATGGGAATCTGCTATGTAATACTGGTATGCACATTCAGGAGACCTGTTTCTGTGATCGGCAATTGTCACACTTCATGTGACTTATCACTTGTAACTCCCAGGGTCAAGGGGTTTCCATAAATTTATGAGTAAATTTAGCAAACGCAAGTCTTTTATAGGGAAGCCTGCACATTATTATGTCAATGTAAGACTAAATATATAACAGTAGGAACTTTCTGATGAGTTTCCAACCAATCAACATCCCAGCATGAGCTAGTTTATTGCAATTGTTCTGTGTTCATAAATTATCAAATGTTTGATTCAGAATTTCAAGTAATACAGTTAGTGGTCTCTGATAGGCACTTTTTTAAAGGGCCTAATTTGATGTATTTTCATTTACTTGGTATTTGTGGTACACACAGTGTTTGAAACACTAAAGTGGGAGGAACATTTGGTTGGCTAGGTTGTTTATTTTAATCTGATTATATGCTGTTGTGTCTGTTCTGAGAGCACTAATATGACTAACCAATTTCTCAGTTTCCTAGGACTGGATGAATGCTATGGAAAACAGATCCATATTTGTTTTAATTTTTCTTGTTCCATTTTTATGTATTAGCCTTATTGTTTGCTAACAGATCCTTACCTCTGCTCTAGGTCATAGGTCTCTATGTTGGTCAGGAGCTCGGTGTGACTAGGGTTTTATTTTGGGGTCCTCCATATTATTAGATACCTCATGTTCATTTTAATGAATGCTCCTAAAGCCCCAGTTTCTTGGGATTCAACAAGGACCAGCTCGTTAGAGGGTAATCCGATCGGAGAATTAGAGGCATCTGACAAACTGTATTCTATAGTGCTTTTCTTTTCTGTTGATATGGGGGTCAATGTAAATATACAGAAATTGTGTGTGATTTTAATGTTTTTCATTATTATGATAGTTCTATCATCAGAGACTATATCCACCTACTTTTTCTGGGAAAAGGGATGAACAACCTTAATGACTAAGTGACACTGCTTCAAAAAATAAAGCCAAGAAGGATTTGTAATTGCTGCAGTGAAGGCCTTAGCCAGAATCTTTATAGTGTTTGAAACTTCACAGATGTACACTTAGAATTTTTTTTTTTTTCTTTTTAATAAATGCTTAGTGGCTTTTTTTGTGAACATTTCATTTGTGGTAGTTTGTGGCAATAATTCTATTCTATTACAGTATTCATTACTCCCCTATTCTATGCCTATGCTTTTTTATATCAAGCACTACTTTCCTATGATTCTGCAGTTTATTTTAGCTTTATAGCTTGTTAAAGTAACTAGTTAACATCTATTTCTTACTCTAGGAGAAAAAACGAATTGCAATATGCAATGCTGCTCGACAGTGGGATATTCAGCACAACAGAGTAGTACCTGGAACAAATTCAGATCAAGAAAGCGGCGATTGTATAAGCCCTTCACATAAAACCATGCCCACTGAATGGGTCTACAGCTTATGAATTTAGTGAAGAAAAAAGGTAATTTGGAATATTTGTTACCATTGTACTATATTTTGTTCTCTTTTCTTTTTTTTTTTTTTGTATGACAGCCTTTTTTTTTTTGCAATGAAAGGAAACTAAAAGGTCAGCATTTTTTCTTTTTAGTAGGAAATAGATAAAGCCCAATGTCAAGTATTCTGTAAATTTTGTGAAGGGAAAATTTTTCCTTTGCCTCTTGTTCCAGAAATACAACAGGAAGTGAGAGGAAGGAGGACAGTTATCTCAGAAACATGCATCCTCTCTATTCCAAGTTCCAAGGACAACTATTTTAGATTTCTTATCACACTTCATTTACAGTTTGGACAATATCAAAAAGAACTGAATGCTAGTGTTGCCACTGCTCTTTACATCTTTGATCTACCAACACAGTACTTATTGTAAGCCCATGTGTGCCAAAATGGCATGCGTGGTGAGCTAGTACATCCATGTACATAATGTACAGGGTAACATTCGTATTACAGCTGGCAAACTAAAACAGCTTCACAATGGTGAAGCATAAGTAATAGAATAAGAACTATCCAACTAATGAAAACAAAAATATTCAAAACAGAAAGATAAATTAATTTGTTGAGTGTGTTCCAGTCAGATGTTCCACGCTTTTTGCAACTTTTTTGGGCAACCCCAACTGAGCTAGGCTGATTTTGTTAAAAAAGTAAAATTTTCCTTTTGAAATCTTCCATTGGATTTTAATCTTGTACAAATCAATTACAATAAAGTTTAATTTTATACCAAATAGAGAGGAAAGGTGCACCTGAGCACTTCCATGTACTGATACAGAATGGCATGCCATAGTTCTAGCAGCCTTAGAGGGAGAACACTATTCCCTAAAAAAAACAGATAAAATTGGAAGGAGCAGCGGGGTAATTATTGGGCAAGGTGCATTTCTGTTTAAGAAACTGCTTTGGTCTGCAATTTGAGAAAAATATAGTATACTTACACGTGCAAAATGTAATTATTATTATCATATGATTATACAGTATTTATAAAGTGCCAACAGTTCGCTCAGCGCTGTACATTACAATGGGAGACAATACATGAGACAGTACAATAACAATACAATGCGATACACGAGGAGTTGGAGGGCCCTGCTCCTTGGAGCTTACAATGTTGCCAATACTTACGTATATACCCTGTATCACTGCTTTAACTGTATTCCGTGTCATCACTCAGTCCTTACCAGGAATTCATTAACAAATTCCCCTTTCACCTCTCCTTATTGAATTTTCCTAGCATTCATATAACTATTTATCTCAACATTCTTCCCAGAATGTTTCTGGAATAATGGTGACATCTAGTCTACATGTTCGAACATAAGGGGAGATTTACTAAAGCTGGAGCACGCAGAATATAGTGCACCTGCGCATAGTAACACATCAGCTTCCAGGTTTTATTCCTGGTTCACATATATGCAACCGTGCGAGCCGCGTTTTGCACGGGCACGAGAGCCCATTAATTTGAATGGACTCCTGTGCCCCGTGACACGCAGGGAAGAAGTCCCTGCACTTCTTCTGAAAACGAAGCCACACGGGAACCTTGGTTCCCAGTACGGATGTGTTTTACAGTGCGGGCGGCGTGTCATTAGAACTAATGGCACCCGCCTGCAGGTCCACATTCCTCTGTGCGGGTGGTGCAGTTGCATGGTGTCACTAGAAGCGAGAGCGCAGGGAGAGAGCACACGGAGACAGATTGCACGGAATCCGACGTGTGGGCATTTAATGGGGTACAGACAATAGATCCGTTAGTCTACAGATCCACACCAGACACAGCAACACAGTAAAGTTCTTTGGAAGGCAATATGGAACAACAGGGGGCTGGTAGTCCACAGGGTTCAGTAAAACAGGGGCATGGCGGTTTCGTGGGACTTCGGGTTCCTGGGGAGAATTGGGCTTAGTCTTTTGGGCAGCACGGGGTTAGTCCACTTACTAGATGCGGGGAACCAGACACAGAGGGTTGCAGTCCACACAGGCAACACAGCAGAGGGCAGTTCAGGCAGGCAATGGTAAGTCCGGGCACACAGCAGAGGGCAGTTCTGGCAGGCAATGGGTAAGTCCGGGCACAGCAGAGAGCAGTTCAGGCAGGCAATAGGTAAATCCGGGCACACAGCAGAGGGCAGGCTGGCAGACAATGGGTAAGTCTGGGCACACAGCAGAGGGCAGTTCAGGCAGGCAATAGGTAAGTCTGGGCACACAGCAGAGGGCAGTTCAAGCAGGCAGTGGGTAAGTCCGGGCACACAGCAGAGGGCAGGCTGGCAGGCAATGGGTAAGTCCAGGCACACAGCAGAGGGCAGGCTGGCAGGCAATGGGTAAGTCCAGGCACACAGCAGAGGGCAGTTCAAGCAGGCAATGGGTAAGTCCAGGCACACAGCAGAGGGCAGTTCAGGCAGGCAATGGGTAAGTCCGTGCACACAGCAGAGGGCAGTCCACAGGGTAGCAATCCAGGGACTCACCAGCAGCAAAGAGTTAACCCCACACAGGAGAGATCCAGCAGCAGACTGGCAGTCAGGTCAGCCAGGTAGAGGAGAGGAGAGCCGGGGGATGGTAGTCCTGAGAAGCTGGCCGCAGCCCAGTCCTCTCTCAGACACAGCACACAGGAGAACAACCGGCCGGTTGCCCTGCTCTGCCTTAAGTACAGAGAGGGGCGCGTTGCTGTTGCTGTGGTAATGGGCCCCATCCCCCACATCTCCAGACCCGCCCAGGGAACACGGCCTTTGTCCCTGTCAAGCACGGAGCCCAGGAAGATGTGCAGGAGGGGGCAGGGAGGAGGGGTGACAGGAGGGGGCCTGTTTGTGGATTCCCACAGCAGGGGGCAACCTTCTGGCATCCAGCCAGGGAAGCAGGATGCTCCCTCAGCAGGGGGGCCAGACTGCCGGCGACAGGGGGGGAGGTGCTGGTGGGGGGTGGCAGGCAGCAAGCCTGGAGGATGGGGGAAGAACCAGCTCCGTGGCACATGGATTTTCATGCGTATTCGCAGCCGCACAACCCGCACATATGTGAACCTAGCCTTATTGTCAAAGCTTAATTGAGCGATCTGAAGTTAGAAGCTGATTGGTTACTTTGCACAGCTGCATCAGATTCTGTGTGCTCCAATTTTAGTAAATCTCCCATCATAGACTCTCTGCCCCTAATAGCTGACATTTGAGTTGACATATTGTCCTACAAGCCTGTACTGTATTGTACATAATCTAGCAGTGGGAACACTGTAGTACCTCACTGTCACATGTTGGTAAACACCCTATTGTTTCAAGAACTGATTGTCAAGACTGTGAATTCTGGCATTTTGGACACCCTAAGTCCTTTCTTCAGCAATATTGTTAAATCAGTTATACACACCCCATGACATAATTGCCCAGTATGCAGAGCACAGACTGCATCTTGTGTATAGGTGACTCTGTTGGTCTTGTTCCTGCATGGCACTAATGGCTTGTCCTGTAGTCTGTGTAATGTGATCATTAATCTTAGGCGTGTTTGGATCGTCGTTCTATCCCACCTAAGGGAGCCCACCAGGAAACTGTCACTGTTCTCTGCCAATCATAACCATCTGAGGTACTCCCCGCCCCTTAGCCGCACCTATACACATGTCTCTTGTATACGTCCAGCTACAGAGTGGGAAATGCCCCGGCCACAGATAATCAGCCCAGTACAGATGACAGCTGCTCAGATGGATTAAGGCTATGCTCTGAATGCTGCAAGGTCATCCCCAGTGATCACCATGCAATTCACGGTGGGCATATGTAAGAAGCTTACTGTCTACTTGTTGCATGAAATGGATATAAAATTATAATAAATAATATTTAATCTCTACCTGACTAAATTTCTAGCTCTAATCATAATGTATAAAGATATCTATGATATAAAAACACTGTACATTCCCTTTAAATTGTTCAGAAAGAGTTGACCGCTGTAATCGTAGATCCTAACCATATAGGAAGCATGTGGGTCTGAAGAGCTTTGATTTTTGCAGAAATTCAATAAGGCACTTGATATATGTACACTTGAAAACTTAATGTCCTTTTCTGTATTCATTAAGAACCCCTGGGCATGCCTGGAACAAGCACTGACATTTTATAAGTGAGCTAAATGGGTGTTATTCATCACTTGTATGTACACGGCCATGGAAAGTCGTTTAGCACAATGCTGTTGTACTGTTGTAGCGGATCATGCCAATTTTCTGGAGCCCATCAGCATTAGGAGCCTGGTACAGCCTATTACACACTAAAATTTTAGATACAATTGACAGGCTATTTAAGCATTTAGTTTATGTCACTGTAATAGTTTTAAAATGTTACTAGTTTAATCTGTGAACTGCCTATAAGGTTTGGGTTTCAGAGACTTGGTCCCATCATTTTGCTATATGCTTATTTAAGCCCCAGAAGATAAAATTGCATTTTGTATTCTACTGATCTTGGAGTAATGATTTAAAGTGTTACTAAACCCAAGACCCTGCATTCACTGTATATGGTCTCCCAGAGTACACACTACATGGAAATGCAATTATTTTAGTAAATATAAACTGCTAAATATCTTTTCTCATCAGCAGTATATAGCAGTTTTTGTGTTTCTATCAGTGTCCAGCTGAGCATTGGTTAATCTTGTAGGAGGAGTTTCCAATCTGCTCTGACTGTCCTATGAGGCTGCATGACCCCTGATCCTCTGTCTGGACAGAGCTGATTGGTTCTGTGCCGATCACATGCACCCACCCAAAGAAAACAAAACTCCCTAGCCATACACACTAAACTGAGCATGTGCAGAGTGTCCCCCAGAGCTCTGCACTCTCAGCAGATGGATTGGAGACAGTAGAAGAAGGCGAGGAGCAGAGAAGACAGGATCAAACAGTCTTTTTACACAATGTGGAGGATTTAACCCCTTAGATTCAACAGTGCGTATGACAAGCAAGCTTTACTGCATATACAGGTTGATTTTACTGGGTTTTTACTGGGTTTAGGGTAGTAACACTTTAAAGATTGAAGGGCCACAAATCAAAGATGTGGATAGCCAATATTTGTGCTGAATAGATGCATCAGACCATTTACCATTAAAAATCTCTTACCTTTTACAGGGATATACTATGTACGGGATAATATAAGACTGTTTTAGCTCAAATGACATCTGTGTTTCAATATCTCGATCCGTTTTGTCATTAGAGGCTGAATTATTGAGTACTAAAACATCTATGGTTTTGGAGGCAAACATACTTTGTCTGGCTATTCAAGGCATTTAAATAGCCTTTTAGTCCTGTATATCATAAATTATTAACACTGAAACACATGCAATAAAATGCTTTTATTTCTTGCCTTAAAGCACTTTTGAAATTGTTGCTAGAACTTAGTAAATCACACAGATATCTTGAATATTTTAATCAATACCTGACAAAGTGGTTGCTTTGCCTGGTAAGATGTGCAGGTGTGCCTGTTCTCAGTAAAGCCATTCAGAATTCTTGAAAGAGAATCTTGGGTTAGATTAGAATTTATACTAGATCCGAATACATTTAAAAGGCCTGTATCCCATAATGTTTTAATACTTGATATTAACTTCTTTTTCAACATTAGATTTGACATTGAAACCTATGTATTACATTTTGCAACCATTTTTGTTTCTAGATCTCCTTTTTATGTGCTTGCACTACAAATTAAAATATATATATATATATATATAGATGAGAATATAGAGTGCTGGAAAAAGAGTAAGTACATGTAAGGCTGAGTGGTAAAGTGCAGAATGCAGAAAATATTACTTTAGAAAACAGAAAAGGGCTTGGGGGATTTTCCACTTTTATCCATATAAGAATCTCTAGTTTAAGCCCTTGAAACACAGAGGCCAAATCTGAGCAGAGTTCTACAGTATATTATTACTTTCTCTTATGCTTGCCATGGACATGGTGCTTTCTAATCTTTAACCCCTTTGCAGTATCATTTCTGAGGTAGTTATTACAGGCTTTGTTACCCTTCATTGCACTATTTGATGACATCTTAAAAGTCTCTACTATGCGTTACAGGGCAGAAGCAATGGGACTGGGATAATGGTCTGGTTTTTTGTATTTAGATTTAAAGAAAAATTTGAAAAAAAACGCTTTCACAGGACACTTGAGTGCATTCAAGTGTAAAAAGTACTTTATATACTGCAAACTTGTTTGTATAAGCATCAGACTTCAAGTTATGGTTACACAAAAATCCTATAGCAACAAGTAAGACAATTCTTAAATGCTCAATGCTTTAAATCAAAAGTTTTCCTGCTCAGCTAAATCATCACTGAGATTTAGAGGAAGGCACGGTTTCTTTAGAACTGGATAACTTTCTTTGAAACTAAGAAGTTCAACCTTAGGTTGAACAATATCTGTTTCAGCCAACTGTGCTACAGTGTGCAAAGCTTCTGTTGGAATGTCATTGTGTTTGATCTGAGCAAATCATTTGTGGTCTAAATGGGACAAATCATAGTTACATAGTTAGTCTGGCTGAAAAAAGACAAAAGTTCATCCATAAAAAAAAAAAAAAAATCTAATCTTGCACCCACAGTTGATCCAGAGGAAGGCAAAAAACCAGCAAAGCATGATCCAATTTGCTCCTGCAGGGGAAAAAATTCCTTCCTGATCCCCCGAGAGGCAAATCACAGATTGTCTGTCAGTCACTTGGTCACTGACAGACAAACTTGACATTGTAGATTGTGCAGAGTAGAACCTATTTGCAGGCATAATTTATGCTGATCAGAAGTTGATGTAGCCATTTAGGGAACAAAAATACAATTTTAACATACTTTAATGCTTTACACCTTTTTGGGCTCAGTTTGGGAGCATTTAATCATACAAAGACTAAATGTTATCAATTTCTGGGGGACATGTCTGTGTTACATCTTGCTTAGTCAGTGTTCACCAGGTGATGGCATCAAGAATGGGACACTTCTGCTGGAGAACATCACTGTGTTACATCTTGCTTGGTGTACATTGACTTGGAGCATGGCATCAGTCATGGACCAATGCTGCTGGAGGACATCACTTTGTTAAAGAATGCTTGGTGCACGTTAAATTGGGGATGCCATCAGGAATGGGGCAATGCTGCTGGAGGACATCACTGTTTTACATCTTGGCGCACTTTGAATTGGGGATGCCATCAGGAATGGGGCAATGCTGCTGGAGGACATCACTGTGTTACATCTTGGCGCACTTTGAATTGGGGATGCCATCAGGAATGTGGCAATGCTGCTGGAGGACATCACTGTGTTACATCTTGGCGCACTTTGAATTGGGGATGCCATCAGGAATGGGGCAATGCTGCTGGAGGACATCACTGTGTTACATCTTGCTTGGTGTGCGTTGAGTTAGGAATGGCATCAGGAATGGGGCAATGCTTCTGGGCTGACTGGAGAACAGCACTGTTAGATCATGGTTGGTGAAGTATCTGTTGGCCTGGGGATGGAATAATATGATTGCCACTAAAGTTTCAGACATTTTTTAGTCAAGTGAACAAGCAACATTGCAAATGGCAGTTTAGTTTATTTGCATCCAGCAGGTGGAGCTCTTTGCTCCTTATCACATACTGTACAGGAGTCCCTTTGATTGCCTGTGATTTATGCACTCACCGGCCACTTTATTAGGTACACCTGTTCAATTGCTTGTGAAGAAGAAAGGGGATTTAAGTGAATTTGAACCTGGCGTCGTCGTTGGTACCAGATGGGCTGGTCTAAGTATTTCAAAAACTGCTGATCTACTGGGATTTTCACGCACAACCATCTCTAGGGTTTACAGAGATTGGTTTGAAAAAGAGAGAAAATATCCAGTTGTGTGTGGACAAAAATGCCTTGTTAATGTCAGAGGTCAGAGGAGACTGTGCAAAATGGTTTGAGATGATAGAAAGGCAATAGTAACTCATGTCAATATGGGCCAAAATCTCTAAGAAATGTTTCTAGCACCTTGTTGAATCTATGCCACGAAGAATTAAGTCAGTTCTGAAGGCAAAAAGGGGGTCCAACCCGGTACTAGCAAGGTGTACCTAATAAAGTGGCCTGTGAGTGTAT